ATTCTACTCGAGGCATTATTACCTCTCCTCTGCGTCTAAGGCACTAATTCGAAGATAAAGCCTCTGAGTAAGTCTTATGGTCAGGCCCTTGTTCTGTTAAAAACGGTTACACTATCACTCATCTTTCTGTCCTGGCCCATCCAACTCCCACCCTATCACAAATTCTGACTTGTTTACATTTCATTCATCAAAATGTGTGTCCTTTTTTGTCAGATTTAGTGTGGCCTCATCACATCTACTATTTACCCTGGCCCCCTCTCTTTCAATCGGCTAGTCCGACTCGGGCCTCGTATCCGGATCTCCCTCATGAACATCAAAGATCAGTTGCTTATCTTTTTGGTCGACTGATTTCACTCGGTTCCAGACTCAGTGTGCATTTTACTCCAGGCGCTATTGCTCAAGGCCGTAGAAGAATGTACACTGCCGCCTCACCGAGCAGAGCGCCTATGCTCTGATTCCCATGCATGCAGATAGTAGGCATTACTTTGACGGGTCGTCTCCTTGATTAAACTCTAAAGGGAAAGTGCCAAGGTGAATACCAAGTGTGATAAGATCACGTTAAATTTTCCGAAAAAAGTGGACACATTTTGACGAGTGGAATGTAAACAAGTCAGAAGTTGTGATAGGGCGGGAGTTAGATAAGAGGATAAATAGGCCATGACAGAAAAAGGAGTGATAATGTAACCGTTTCGGCAGAACGTTGGTCAAGTTATTGACCTCACTTGTCTCTGACGTGTTTGTAACTTAGTGCGGAGATGGGCAGGATTCACTGATATGAGAAGAAAAGTTGGGTTCCGAGGAATCGTTAGATTCATAATTGTTGAGCATACTTCCACTTCGAGTGAGAGTGTCGGGTGAAGAGATTCGAAGGTCGATTCCACCAGAAGACAAAGGCGGATTCCTCTTGATCAGCTGTCGATTGGCCTTACTGGAATATTCATGGTGACGCTGTTTCCGAGGTAATATCCTTCGATTCTGGTGAAAAAGTGTTAAGCTTTCGTCCGTCATATGACGAACATCATAAGAGCAAGTTATCATCATGACAACTAAATTCAAGCTAACAAGTCATGAAAACTCATTGACAAACCCCTAAAAGCTATATATATATATATTCAATATATGGCCTCTGACCAGGTATACAGTGATTTGAATAAAGTTGTTTGATCTTGTTTTCGCAACTCGGTCAAATTGGTAGAAAGACTAAAAGAAACGCACCTAGTCCGGAGTCTATTGTATGCATCATAATTTCCAGAGTAGGACCGTGGACGTGGTACATTCCCAGACGTTTCACCAGCATAGTAGTCAGCATCGTCAGTGAGTCTCGCGATTCGTAGCAACATATTAGAACTCGTCAAAGGGACAAGTGAAGCCCTTTCTTTGACCAAACGGGTGCTAAACAGTTATGGTAGTTTTGATGGTACTGAACTTTAAGGATTATTCCCACATATGAATTCTTTCTGTATAGTCTCCTCATTTGTGTCCCCTTGGAGCGTATGACTTCAACATCCAGAAAGGGTAGTCGTTCATCTTCCTCCACCTCCATTGTAAACTTAATTCTTTCATCAAGTTGGTTAATGAAATTAAGGAATTCACTTAAATTTTCCTTACCATGTGGCCAAATTGCAAAGTAGTCATCCAGGTATCGCATGAGCATTCTTGGTTGCAGTGGTGACTTCTCGAATTCCCTTTGCAGCTTGTCCATGTACAAATTTGCCAAAAAAGGTGAGAGTAGATATCCCATCGGTAGTCCAAATATTTGTTCGTAGATACTGCCATTAAATGTAAAATACATGGTCCTTACTGTCAGGTTGATCAGTCGTGTTAAGGATT